GTTTCTTTCAGCTCCACACATCTTAGTGACATCAGGAGCACGTGAGGACTGCCTGCATTCCTCCAAATGTGGAGATCAGAGCGTGAGAAGCAGCCAGGGGATGGACCAGGACCTGTCTGGTCTTGTTATGCCTTGAGAAAGAAGGAGAATGGCCTTGCCATTTGTCACCCAGCAGTCTGGGACACTGAAGGCTCAGGACCTGCCATTGGATTTGATGATAGGAAAGTCACTGGTGACCTTGATAGGAGAGATCTCTATGGCAATGGGGAACTGGGGACAGATAACCAAAGAGATTGTAACACAATGAATTTACTACAGAGGAGATTTAGCTTAGGTGGCAAGCAGCAAACCAAAGAGGCTTATAAAGAGCTTTAGAGGATGGAGCTGTGCAGAAACAGGTGATAAGACAACACAGGAAGAAAGGGAAACCGGACACGGGGGGAGAGGGAGCGCCGTGGAACGAACCGCCCTTGTGCAGAAAGAGACAACACCATCACTGCAAGTGGTGACACTGGCCACGAGCCCAAAGCAAGCACTGTTCCTCTCCAGTAGCAGGAGGGGGAGGGGAGGAGGGGGGAGGGGGCAGCCCTTCAGGATGGTTATTGTGTTCTCAGGGAAACAAGAGTCCAAGCGTTCAGCTGAGAATGAGGATGTGAGAACTTAATATAACTTTGTTAGATCTCTCTCTGTGTTTCTCCGTCTCTTTCTCTCTGTCTCTGTGTGTGTCTTTCACTCTGTCTCTGTCTCTGTCTCTCTGTCTCTGTCTCTCTGTCTCTCTGTCTCTGTCTCTCTCTCTGTCTCTGTCTCTCTCTCTCTCTCTCTGAAGTCAGGCCACACCACCTATGCAGCACAGTTCTACCTCAGGCAAATATAACAGGAATCTGTAAACAAATGTTCCTCATTATTCCTGCCCCTTCGACAAACAACTCCCATACCTACCCGGAACTGGGTTGGAGCTGTGGCAAGGTTCCCACCTCCTGGGAAAACAGGAAAGAAAGGGCTTTCTGGTGTTCAGAGCACATTCTTTCTGCGTGTCTCTGTAGCTCTGTCTCTTTCTGTCTTCCTGTCTCTATCTCTCTCTTCTGTATTTCTTTGTCCCTCTCCCCCTCCCTCCCTCTCCCTGTTCCTCTCCTCCCCTCTCTCCCTTGGCTTTCTCTACCATGCTGTCCTTGGCAATTATCCTGTTCACTTTAAACTTCCTCTTCTACTCCTGTATGTTAAGCCAGTTCCCTTAAAAGAAAGCCTCTCCCTCTCTTTAAGACCCCATCATGTTGTCTCTGACATGGTGTTATATCCCTCTTAATCAGGTTCCCCATGTTCACGTGACTCTCTCCCAATGAAGTTCAATCTGAACAATAATCTGACGGCTCCTTTCCGGAACCTGCCATTCTTTCCTTCCACAGTTGAAATGCATGATGGTAAATCCAAAGCCAACCTTCCAGCACTGAACTGTGTTTTCCGTTAGCCATACTTAGCTGCCCAGATGCAAGACTAAAGTGGATAACCAGGAGGAGGTGGCGCACACCTTTAATCCCAGCACTTGGCAGGCAGAGACAGGCGGATCTCAGAGTTAGAAGCCAGCCTGGTCTACAGAGCAAGCTCCAGAACAGCCAGGGCTTCACAGAGAGACACTGCTGTGGAAAAGAATAAAAAATAAATAATAATAATAAAATAAAGTGGATCAAAAGCTGGATTCAGTCACAGTCAAAAGTTCAGTAGATCTGAGTGAACCAATGTCAAAGTGTTTACAAGGAGTTAGAAGTTTATGGTGACACAGTGTGGTTATCTGAACTGAGAAGGGAGAAGAGAGGAAAGATAAGCAGTAGAAAAATAGAGTCAATGGGGAGCCCAACAGAGGTAAGGATGGCACTTTAAAAGCAGCAGAGTCAGGGTTGTCAGAGGTCAGGACATGTGAGCCAGACTTCCCTGGGTAGAGGGGAGCTGTCATACCTGTGCTCAAGATTCTAAGGGCCATGCTATTCTCTTAACAAGCTCACTCTAAATTACTACGCTTACACTGGGCAGTAACTTCATGGATCTGTAACTGGTACACGGCACTGAGGATGAGTGACTGTTGAGTGCTTAGCCACGTGGGACATCCATACAACTCCCCCCCCCCCATGACTCAGGGAACATGACAGGAGAGGGGCAGGAAAAATGTAAGATCCCAAGAAAAGGATGGGAAATTCTGATTAAAGCTTTAGGACTGTGCTGGGTAATTTTATGTCAACTTGATACAAGCTAGAATCATTTTTGGACAAGGGAACCTCAACTGAGAAAATGCTCCCACTAGACTAGCCTGTTGGCAAGCCTGTGGTACATTTTCTAGAGTCAAGGTTGATGTGGAAGGGCCCACCTCACTATGGACAGTGCTACCCCTGGCTAGGTGGTCCAGAGTGCTGTCAGAAAACAGTCTGAGTAAGCCGTAAAGAGCAAGCCCAGTAAGCAGCCTTTCTCCACGGCTTCTCCTCCAGTTCCCGATTCCAGGTTCCTCCTTGAGTCCCTGCCGTGACTTCTCACAATGACGGACAGTAATCTTCGAGATGAAATAAACCCTTTCCTTCACACGCTGCTTTTGCTCGTGGTGTTTGAGCACAGCAGTCGAAACCCTAACACAAGGTAAATTAAGAGCTTAAATGAAAAGCACACAGGAAGGCAATCTGTATAGCTCAGCGGCTGCCCATAGGAAGAGAATGAGGAGAGAGGAAGGGACAAGTCACTCAAGTTAAGGCCACATGGAGTCACCCACAGGGTTTAAAGAGGTATCAAAGAAAGAGTGACAGCTGAGGTGTGAGGGGGAAACATGCTTAGGGAAGAGATAGAAAGCAAAGGAGAAGGTTCATTTCTCTGAGAAATTCAGGTGACATTCCAAAACAGTATGACTGCACTTCGTATATAATTGAGCTACAGGGTAGGAATTCTGGGAAAGAAGAGTGCAGCATCTCCTTAAAGGGATAATTATTCTGCCTATCTCTTTGACATAGTTTGAGGTGGGTCCACTTTCCTAGGGGTGGTCCTCCTTCTTGAGAGGTGGTTCCTTGGTCAGGATAGATCCACCCAGCTGAAATGCTAGGTTTCTGCTAGGGCCAAAGAGTCTGTTCTCCTGCAAAGGGTTTTCCTTAATGGGCCTTTATTGTTACTCAAGTGTAGGAATCAAGCTTTGGTTATTGTCACCCATGCTGAAGTGGCCCTTTCTGTGATCCAGTTGCCTTTGAGTTACTCCTCAATAAACCAAGCTAGACTTGAGTGGAATTTCTTTGATTTGTCAATGGTGTCCTGTCTGGGGTGACCACACTTCCCCAGATCAAGTTATATGAGACATATGCATCAATTTCACATGATTCCACATATTAGATTGGTCCTTTGACATTATTAAAATTCAGAAGTGTATTAAGAAAAGCAAAAATGGGGAAAAATCATAGCAAGACCCCATCAAATGGCAATTTCCTAAAGCGAAAGAGGCCTTGTTGAGTCAAGTAATTGTACCCAAGTACAACTGAGTAACTGGTTTGTCTACCAGTTGCCCAAATTGTTGAAGGGACTGGACAACATGATCTAAAAAGACTGCATCTTCCCAATACCTAAATGGACCCGCTGTTTTGTGTGTGAGAGTATGTGTGTAAAGTGCATGTGTGGTATATGTGTGATATGTACACATGTGGAAGCCAGAGGAGGTGTCCAGTGTCTTACTCTTGTCACTCCCCACAGTATTCCCTTGTGACAGGGTCTCTCACTGAACCTGGACCTAAGCTGGCAGCTAGTGAGCTCCAGCAATCCTCCCAATCTCTGCTCCCCAACAGTACTGGGGTCATAGGTATACTTACAAGGGTGATGGAGATTTGAACTCAGGTCTTCATGCTTGTTCAGCAAGAGCTCTTACCCAGAGAGCCATATCTACAGTCCTGAGCCCATGTTTCATGCGTATTTTTATTACAATAATATTAATGTTAATTATTCAAATCAATGGGGTTACCTTGAGTATTTCCAGAAGCACAGTATCCTACACCCTCCATGTCCCAATACCCCTCCCCCACTCCCTCTGTACTCCCTCTTCTACTTTTACTTCTTTTTAAAGATTCTCTTGATTTTTTTTTTTTTGGTTTTTCCAGACAGGGTTTCTCTGTATAATGGTCCTGACTATCCCGGCACTCGCTCTGTAGACCAGGCTGGCCTCAAACTCACAGAGATCCACCTGCCTCTGCTTCCCATGGGCTATGATTAAAGGCATGAGACACCACCACCCAGCCTCTTAATACTTCTTAAAGAAGGCCAGACATTTTCACTCTTCTTTGGGATTTGGGTCCTTCAATTCTTCTGAGTTTGCAAAAATTAGAATCCATGAAGGAACTCTGTTAAGTGTTAGGCAAATATTAAAAGAGAAATTGATTTTTGAAGATGAAGTCTTGCACAAACAATGTTTGTATTTTAAGCAATTCTGCCACCTGGGTTGGTTCATGGGCAAGTTATAAATAAGAATCTCAGGTTTCTCCATAAGTCCTTTTAGTCCATGTGAAGCCAGCGTTTCTGCTTCAGCAGAAAACCACAATCCGTACAAACACCATAAAACACATTTACCCAAAGAGGCCGGGACTGGTGTGAATCAAAGCAATGTCCTCCCACGCAGGAGGTACTTTCCACTGAGCCAAAGGGCAAAGGCTTTTGGAATCACAGGAACCAGAAGCCAGAGAGAGAGAGAGAGAGAGAGAGAGAGAGAGAGTGTGTGTGTGTGTGTGTGTGTGTGTGTGTGTGTGTGTGTGTGTGTGTGTGTGTGTGTGTGTGTGTGTGGTGTGTGTGTGTGTGGTGTGTGTGTGTGTGTGGTGTGTGTGTGTGTGTGTGTGGTGTGTGTGTGTGTGGTGTGTGTGTGTGTGTGGTGTGTGTGTGTGGTGTGTGTGTGTGTGTGGTGTGTGTGTGTGTGTGGTGTGTGTGTGTGTGGTGTGTGTGTGTGTGTGTGTGTGTGTGTGTGTGTGTGTGTGTGTGTGTGTGTGTGTGTGTGTGTTGGGGTTGGCATATGTCTAAGGTAAGTCTATACCTCAGTAAGTCTTTATACATTTAGGAATGAATGCTGTTTCATTCTCATGCTGATAAAGTCCATGCAAGTCTGTGCTCCATCAGGCCAGGTGCCAGCCACCCCTACAGACAGGTAAGAAACTGACCTGGATAATTAGCCCCGCTTGGAAGATGCAGACATTGGGACTTGACAGATGAAATGGCCTGACTTGTAGGTAAGTGAATAGGGGCTGTGGCTGGGAGTGGGCAAAACCACACCTAAGAGTCTAGGGCTGGTGAAGGCTTTTCATCCCCCCCCCCCATTGGATTGGGCTTCGGGAGGCCAAGGCCTGCAGTGTTTCTGACTTTGTTGTTTCCTCCTATCTCCTGTGAGCCAGGCCTTGTCTTTTGTGATTGCTTGGAATGAAGGCAGGCTTTGATTCCAAAGCCTCCAGAGTTTGGTGAGAGAAGGCTGTGGGGAGTGTGCTTAGATTCCTATCTTACTAGGTCAGAGTTCTGAAGGAAAGTAGGGGAAAGGGCAGGGAGTCTGGGAAAGTTCTCAGAAGAAAACCGATCCCTTCTTGGTGACGTTGAAGTGCATGTCCACTTTGAGGTGTCCCCCTGAGGCCTGTATCCTCTAGAGGACAGAAAGAACAGGTGCTGTGGCATCACGTGTGGGAAGAGCTCAATGTTTGCCTGAGAGAAACCTGCTCTGAAGTGGCACAGCTCTCATGAAACAAACCGGGTGCTATGCACAATCCTTTCTCTGGCTGTCAAGCCTCCATCTGCACCAATCTTTAAACAGCCTGAAAAGAAGCAATTCTGTTCTCATGGTCATTTTATGTTATTAGCAAACAATACGTCACAGCATATTCAACTGCATAGATAATTAGTCTTGCTTCCCCATCTTTGATGATTAAGTATTTGTCTTGCTCATTATAGTAACTTCTATGTGTATCACATTTGATCGTGTGGAGATTTTTCTGCATGGCTATACAGAATGCTTCCTCCCACATGAGCCTAGACAGCACAAGAGAAAAAAAGAAAAGTGTGTGTTTGAAGAGAGCGTATTTGAAAACCCAAGAGAAATACTTGAGAGGTCTGAAGGCTAAGGGAAGGGCTGGGCGTTTGAGTGGAGGTGAGGCTGAAGTTCGTGTGGGGGAGGGAGGTTGCTGGGGGCAACAAAAGAAGAATTCCCAGATGGACCAACCACTGCTTGACAGTCCTTCTGGAAGACCTCCATCTCTACTCCCCAAGGCTGGTCTAGCTGTGTTTTCTCCTAGTGCTGTGCTTCCCAGGAGCATTGTGGGAACCCTCGCTCAGAGTTGGCCTCTGAAGTCAGCAAGCAGGGATGGCACATGGACTTGTACAGGATCTATGGCCCTCCACAGTGTGCTCTCACATTAAAAATGCTCGCAAGGGCACAGACCAAGCTGGCCATTAATGCTTCCAACACAGAGCACCAGAGGGAGCAGGCAGTAGCCCTGGAAAACCAAGCTCACCTGCTATAATAGCAACATGCCTATCAGCTATAAGAGGCAGATGGCATCAGCAAGAATTTAGAATGATCACAATATGTGCACTTAAGACAAAAAGAGCTTTCACTGAAAAGAATTCCTGAGTACATAGATATAATGTTGATAAAAGAATACTATATGAGGACTATTATAATATGAATATAATAAAAATGATCAGCAGGAATATTTGATTAGGGAATCCCAACAGGCTAATAGGCAGGGTATCGTGGCACAAGCCTGTAGTCCCAGCGCATGAGAACTGGAGACAGAGAATCCCAATGAAGGACAGCATTGGCTACACCTTGCTTTAACCTCATCTTGTGGTGATATCTAGTTTGTACAAATAAAGCTTGCCTGAAGATCAGAGGGTGGAGCTAGGCACTAGCTAACCATAGAGGTCTGGAGGTCTGTACAGACAGACAGGAAGTGAGATGGCTGGGTGGAGAGAGGAGTATAGGCAGGAGGAGAGAGGAACTCGGTCTCTTTTCAGTCTAAGGATTTTGTAGAGATAAAGAGCTCTAACTGCTGACTGCTTCTCTGATCTTCCAGGTTTCACCCCATAATATGTGACTCTATGATTTTATTATTAAGACTAATTAGAACTTGTGTTACATTATCCCTTCCCAACCCTTGAAATCAATTGGAAAAGGCAAAAAAGGGGGGGAAATACTGTTCTAAAATGTATTAAATACATTTCTAAGATACTAGAAGAATAAATGTATAATTATCAATAATATCTGATTAATGGGTAACCAACCCCATAAGAGGAATGTTGAAAGAATTAATGATATATTTTTGAGGAAATCAATCTTTTAGTAATAATTCCAGCTGCTTGAAGCCAGGGAAGTTGGTAGAGGTGATAAAACAGCAACTCAAAGAACACGGGAAATTCCTTACATTTATAGATGTTAGAGGATGGGGTATTTGATCTTAGCAGTTTAGTGAAGGAACTAGACAGGCTACAATGCATGACTTAGCCCCTCTACTGGGGCAGTCTCTGTGAGTTAATATTCCAGCCTTCTACCTACATACAAAAAGAAACAACTTTACAGATCAAGGGTTAGAGGGACATGGGGCCCAGGGGATGTATGGGTATCCACTTCCATTCTGTCTACTTCCTGCTGAAACTGGAGTATCATGGGGGAGGTTATGGTCAAGCCTCTCTCCCTCTCCATCCTGTGCCAATTGGTCAGTTGGTGATTGCTGGCGTCAAGGGCTAGTATCTGCATTCATGCATCAAGAGGATATTATGCATGTGAGTCTGTGTGGCATGCTGGACAGGTCTAGATGTATCAAGCTAACAGCTGAACGAGAAAGGTGCTGTCTTTAAATGGGAATTTGAGCTTCCCCAGAGGCCACAGGAGTAGGTAGGGTCAACTGAAGGGTGGTTCGCCAAGAGTTGCCTTCCGGAACAGGGCCAAGAGTTGAACTAAAATCTGGTGTAAGTGTGAGTGTCTGCTTGCAGTCCCATTTATCCTGGGAAAATGAACTGAGACCCGATAGGTTAGTGGAAGTGGAGGTGGTGATTCCAAGTGGGGTCCTTACCACAGAGGTTGAAGGAGTTGAGGGTTAGGGTTTTTAAGTAGAATGAGTTCCAGGTGGGTGAACACAGGATGGTAAAGGACTTCTGAGTGATGTCACCTCTACCTCATTTAACTGGTCCCCTTGATCTTCTTTCACCAGATATTCGCTTCCAGGTCCTTTGTTTTCCAAGCTGCTGATGGGGTAGGAGCCTAGGAAGGAGGAGGGCAGAACCCCAGGAGCTGTGTGAAGAGCCCAGTAAAAAAGAATCCCAACAGTAGGGCAACACTCTGGAGGGGCAACCAGAACCACCAGTGGGACAAAACTAGAGGATCACTAAAACCCCAGAAGGCACAGTCCAAGGGGCCACCAGAGCCAGTAGGACAAAGGCCAAGTCAGGAGTTGGAGGGAACAAAATGGCTAGATAGAAAGAGCCCTGAGGAGGTTTAGATGAGACTGGCCCCCATGGACTCACATATTTGAATGGTTGTCTCTCAGTTGGTAGACTGTTTAGGAAGAACATGGAAGGTTAGCCTTATTGTAGGAAGTGTGTCAATGGGGGTAGGCTTGGAGGTTTTAAAAGCCCTCTCCATACCCAGACTCATTCTTTGTCTGCCTCCATCTTGCCAATGAGGCATAAGCCCTCAACTACTGCTCCAATGCCATCCCTGCCTACATGAGACCTTGCTCCCCATCGTCAATGCCCCTCTGAAACTGCAAGCCAGCCCCAATTAAATGTTTTCTTCTATAAGCTGCCTTAGTCATGGTGTATCTTCACAGCAATAGAACTAGAACTAAGACAGCCCTCCATTTAAAAACAATCCATGTATGTTTACCTCCCAAGTTCACACCAAATGTTTTTAATAATGAAGATTCTTTCCAGGGTCAGTTGAGAGATACATAGAAGCAGATATCAGGCTATCAGTTCTTTAATAACACTAGCTGCTGGTAGTGGGGGGGGAATCTAGGAAAGGAAATATAAGAGCAACCAAAAGTACACCTTTCTTTTCCCCTAAAGATGGTGGGTACATCTAGGGGCTGGCAAGATGGCCCAGGAGGTAAAAGTATTTGAGGCCAAGCCTGACCCCATGAATTCAATTGCAGGAAAGAGAGAAACTTCTCCTTCACGTTGTCCTCTCTCTTTCACCCTAGAGCCAAGGCATGCCAGTGTACACACATGTGCGTGCATGCACACACACACACACACACACACCAAACTAAACAAATGTTTAAAAAACATTTACGCTGTTCATTATTGTGAAAAATGCATCAAAGAACAAAAAATGGGAGCTGAGGAGAGCATGAAACTAGAGCATGCACAGACATAAGACAACATGAAGGAAACGGAAGTGTGTGTGTTTGGGGGGCGTGGAATTGTGCCACACCATGGCAACACTGGGCTCAATCAGACATTGAAATAAAAAGGCTGAGGCAGGAGAATGGCAAGTTCCAAGCCTTTCTGTGCTACATAGAAAGTTCAAAACCAGCTTTGGCAACTCAGTGAGATCCTGTCTCCAAGAGAAGAGGCGGGGCTGAGCAAATAGCTCATTGGTTGAACACTTGTCTAGTATACACAGGGTCCCCAGTTCAGCTCTGGAACGCTCCCTCATGCATGCAAACATAAGCAGGGAACAACAAATGCATTCTTGGGTTCTCAGGGACCTGTAAAAGTCAAAATTGGAAAAGAAACTGAGTGCATTCAAGAGCATGCAGTCCAAGGCCAGGAAACACACAGGTGATCAAATACTTCAGGAAATGGTTTGTTGATTCAGTGAATGTTCCAGAAACAGCTCAATTTGTAAAACTCAGCAGCATTTCTCTACATTAGCATTAGTCGATGAGAAAATTAACAATAGCAACATAGCAACATCTGGACATTAGTTGAATGGAGACAGCGTAAGACTTCTGTAGAAAAAGTTTTTGAACTTGAAGGCAGCTTGTTTCTCTTTTTGAAATCGGGCTGTGTTTGGTTAAAGTGACACAGATCTAGAGGAAATGTCAACACGCAAGCCTTTGGACAGAGTGCACAGGCTTTGCTCACATGTACATTCTGCCCAGTGCTGGCTTAGGACTTTGGACTCCCGCTCCTGTGAAAATTCTAGTACTTGCAAACTATTAGTAAATACAGCTGAATCAAAACTCTGGCCAGCAAATGTAACTTTGTTCTCAAAGAGACTTCTCCTTAATTGTCCTTTTCTTAAAGATGAAATTTATCTCAGAAACATCTAAATATAGGGCCTATGAGATGTGGCTCAGTCAGTAAATGTGCCTGCCACCAAACTTGATGACCTGAGGTCCAGGTCATGACCCATACAGTGAAAGACAAGAACAGACTCCCACAAGTTGTCCTCTGATCACCAAACATGTGCAGACACACACACACACACACACACACACACACACACGCTCACACGCACACAGAATATACAAATTTAAAAAAGAAAATGCAAATAAGTAAACAGAAAACATCATGATTCAGTCACAATCACGACAAATGCCTTCCTCTGTATCTGTATAGTTTCTTAATAGATGTTTTAAAGCTTAAAAGACATAACATCAAAACATGAAGCTCAAAGCACCTACAACAGATAGAAAATGTGTGACTTGTGTGACTTCCCACCAGGCACCCATTCTCCTGGGCAGAGTTTCCCTATCTGATCTAAAGGCAACTTTTCCTTCACTTGGTGTATCACCAAGTTGTTCACAGTGTGCTTTCTCTTAACTATGCAAGGCCATCCATGCTCCAGAGTTCTCCTCACCCTTCTGAATTCCCTCCAGAAGATGCATCCCCAGTTCTCTCTCCCTGAACTTCTAGAATTGACCAACTCAAGGCAGAACCATCTTCCCCACTGGCCCCTGGTTCACCCCATCATCTCCACACAGTGGCTCTTCAAACTGTGCAGGCTCCGCTCACCACCTGTCCTGCTGCACAGCTAGTGTGAGGATTGCTAGAGACACTCCTTCCTCCTTGAGCATTGAAAACTTCCATTCTTTCCCCATACAGGCACCAGATACAATGGTCATGCCTGCTGTACAGATGTCATTATGTGGAGCTACTTCATTCTGCAAAAAAAAAAATCTGTCAGTTTTCTTCAGGCAGTGACCTCAGACGGGAGAAAGGAAAGCAACACAGACAATGGAAAAGAAGAAATGGAGAAAGGAAGGGAGGATGGGAAGGGCCAGGAGAGATTATGGATTTGGATTTGTGCTATTCCCTCTCTATGTCATCTCAGCTAATTTCCTTTAACTCCCTACTCCATAAAATTGTGTTAAGTGAGATGAACTTTTATTTGCTTGTTTGGGGACAGGGTCTTCCTGTGCTGAGATTACGGGTATGAGACACCATTCTGGACACTTCTAGAGAATTCATCTCAGCCCCCACTTCTCTCTCCCATGACTTCTAGACCAGATCACTGCAGGCAGAGTCGTCTGCTCTAGTGGCCCCTAAAACAACTGGCCTAGATGAGATTTACAAGTAACTAATACTTGAAAAGTATTTAGTGGTAGTAACTGTAATGATTAATTTTTGATATAATTTTCCGGACAGCTGGGCATCCACATATTTGCTAAGACATTGCTCTGGGCATTTCTGTGAGGGTATTTCCAGATAAGTTTAACTTTTAAGTCAATAGACCAAGTGATGTAGTTGACCTTGTTAATGAGGGTGGCCCTCAGCTAATCAGTTAAAAGCCCAAACAGAACAGAAAAATGAACTTCCCACGAGTAAGAGTGATAGGTGCCTCCTGCCTGGCAAACACCTGGAGCATCAGCCTCTGCTTGCCTCCCACTGAGCAGTTAGCTCTTCTTGTGTGTCCAGCCTGCCAGCCATTGGACGGGAGCTACACCATCAGTCTCCTGGTTCTCAGGCCCTTGGGCTTGGGCAAGAGCTTTACTCTGGCTCTGCTGGATCTCAGCTTCCCACCCACAGATTTGGGAACTTATCAGTGTCCACAATCATGTAAGCTAATATCTTATGAGACACTGCATACATGCACACACATGTATACACCCACATGCTCAATTCTTTGTTTTTCTGGAAAGCCCAGACTACTGCAATTACAATAATTTAATTGTAGTTTGTATTTCTTTGCAAAATGATAGTCCAAAAATAATAATATTCAAGATACCTTGAATTTTTGTTTAATCCTGTTCTATGGGAAAATTATTTTATTTGCAAAACAAGGAACTGACATGAATTCTGAGACACTTTCTGAGGCCATGAGTTCTGGAAACTTCTTTATCGCAGGAGGTAGCTAAAGAATGGCAACCCCCTTTTTTTCTCTAAGGTCAAGGTTTTACACCGGTTTTTAAATTTTTATTATTATTGCTTTCCTATCTGATAAGTTAAACAGTGACCAGAAAGGAAGGGGAACATTGGAGGCGTAGAAAGCAGGCGAAGGTTCAGTCGATTGTCAGATGCCTGCAGGACCCCGGAAGCTGGTGGTTAAGGGAAGCACTTTCCATAAATGTCATCTCACAGGAGGAGACCCCCAGCCATGGCTAAGAGCATCTCTAGGTCTGTGTACTGCTCCACAAAAATGTTTGTGAAGGTTTGCACGCCCAGCAGGTGGAACCAGGTAGAACCTTATACATCACCTAGTCTGCGGCTTCTTGAGAGGTGGTAGTGACATAGTTTTTGAATCCCTGATCCCCATATAAAGTGGTTAAAGGAAAATCATAAGCTCATGAACACTGGCAATAAAGTGAAGTGATAGTTTATCCCTTTGATCCACCAAATATGAGGGGTGAGATCAAACAGAACGCTCATGTTGGCCTCTGAGAATAAGAAAGCAGAAGGCAGGATGGGTTATAGGAAGCTCTGGGTATAGGAGAACCCCTAAACCGTCTGCCAGAACTTGGGGTGGTGGGAGCTGGCAGGCTGACACAGGGGCAACAGCTAAACCTGGGAGCTAAACACTGTTGACCACCGGTGTTAGTAACTGTGAGCTCCACGCCCTGGGGCTGGACCAGCACAATCATCCTGGTACCGTTTATACTTTAATGATCTGATTGGTTTCATGGTATAAACATCATCATCATCATAATCAGTTGCAGGTATCAACATGAACATAAAGTTGGGAGCCAGCTGTGGGAAGAGCCAGGGCCCCTTTCCAGGCCTGGCTGAACACTGAGTACAAACTGCTGAGGGGAAAAAAGTCAAAACGAAGCAGAATGAGGAAAAAGGATTTAATGGCCGTGAACTTTTCCTTTCTTGGAGAATGAAACAGGTCCAGGGATCACAGAGGACACCAGCATCTTTCTGAACTCTGAGGAAACAGAGGAAGGCGCTCACTCCCTAAAGCTAGCATGGCTACTTCAAACCAAGTTGCCGACCAGGAACACCAACACACCCTGAAATGAGCAAAGCGCTGTGAGAAAATCCTGTGAATTTTCCTGTGATAAGTCATACAACATCACACTGGCCAGAATCGCAGAAACAGGCAAGGCATGCTCATTCTGGCTCATCTATTCTGGTTGGAGGCCACACTACCTACAACGAGTTAAACTAGCCTAACGCAAGCTGTGACGCTCACAGTGGCTTCCTCCTCCCACTCAGTCAACAACTTTCTGTTCACTCCAAACTTCCTCCCAGTTGCCATAGATTTACAACTAGAGGCATACCGTGTGCCAGACCACCTCATCACACGCTCAATATCTATTCCCAATCCCTTCATGGCTCAAATGACAGCTGATAAATCATTAACAAAGGATGCCTCTGTGATTAATTTCAGCTTCGTAGTTTCATTTCTAGGTGTTTTTCTACAGCCGATGTCTTATCCATTTTTCATTCCTGGATTCATTTGAACACTAACAAATATGGGCTTTAAAAATCCTGAGGCGAGATATGGGGAGGAGATAGGTGGCCAGAGAAGTTTTAAAGGCTTGTTTCCTTGGAAACAAAACAAACTTTACAATAGCTAGAAAGGAGGGCTGTGCATGACTTGGTACTCGTAGGAAGCAGGGACCTTTGGGGACTGTGGTTGCAAGACAGGTTGTTGTTTGGTCACTCATACTAGAATGGAGAAGGCAGATTGTGAAGAGGAATGAACAGAGAAGACTGCATTCACTATTCAGGAAGACAATTCATACAGGAAAATGGAAAGTCACACAGGAGTGACTTCTCGAGCAAGAAATAGTGGGCCCCGATTCTTTGAAAACAATATTTAAATTAAAACCTAATGACATTATTCCCCACTGACCTTTCCTCTCTCCGACTATTCCCACACACACCTCATTTATTCTCTCAAATTCGGTGTCTGTTTTTTTAGCTGTTTTGAACATGTGAATGTTTTGCCTGAATGTGTGTATGTGTACACATGCATGCCTACTGCCAGTGGAGGTCAGCAGGGGAGTCAGATCCCTTGGAACTGGGATGATGGTTGGTTGTGAGCTGCCATGAGGGTGCGGGGAATCAAACCTAGGTCCTCTGCAAGAGCAATACGTGCTCTTAACTGCTGAGCCACCTCTGCAGCCTGACATGGATTTCCTTCCTTGTTGTTATATATGTGTATATTCCTAAATATGTAAATAAAGACTGCTCAGTCCATGTAGTGTTTTGTATGTATGCGATTTCAGGACTGAACATTTGCTAATGGGTAGCCAATTTGGGGGCTCTTCCCAAACTGAAAATATGTTTTTCCTACTGTCAGCCTTCCGTAGTCACCTGTGGTTTAGTCCCTATGAGCTTTCCCCTTTGCATGTTAGCATATCTGTTGGTGTCATTCTTGTTCAGGTCTTGTTTAGGCAGTCATGAGAATGAGAGAGACTTCATAAGTGTAGCTTCTTTGGCAGTTTCTCTGGCTCTTACAGTATGTCTATCCCCCCTTCCCCTATGATCCCTGAGACTTGGGTATAGGAATTGTGTTGTATTGGTTTCTGTTGGGGCTGGACACCCATGGTCATTTGTTCCTGCATTCTTAATTGGTTGCAGTTTTCTGTAATGGTCTCTTGTCAGTTTCAAGGAGAGATTTCTTTGATGAGGGGTAAGACCTCTATTTATGTATGGGTATAAGGATAAATATTTAGAACATAATTAGGGATTATGTTGGCTTAGTTAAGTGATGGTTGTAGATTCTTCTCTTGGATTCATGACTTCATTAGGCTTGGGTAGCTGACTAAGTTTCTAGTACCAGGAATTCTTTCCCTCATGCTGATCAGGCCTAAAGTTCAAATAAAGCACTGTTGATCACCAGCCGTACCTTAGGAATATCATCCCATAGTAGTCATTATTTTAGTTCACTGGCATCATCATATAGCTGGGTAGTACCGCTGGTTGCTTCCTTCCCTTAGAAGTTTGCATGGTGCCTTCTGGAGCCACGGAACTTAGTCTTCAGCGAGGAGACTTTCAGGTCAGAACCAGCTAAGATCCTCCCAGTCCTGTGTCTACAGTTCATAGTGCCTTTAGCAATAGAGGCTTACATTCAAGCAACAAAGGAAAACAGTGGTAGCCTATAGTCTATAGTTTATGTTTTAGGAGTCTCCTGAACAGCATTGACCAGCGATGCAAAAGGGTGTTTCTCATGTCTGGTGTTGGGAGTTCTGTCAGAGAGTCTATGGCTCTTTGTCATCTCAGAGGGGCAATTTTCATTTAAACAAATACATATATAGACTTACATGCATTATAGATATTTTAGGTAGATAGCATGACTCCTTATGTCTGTTTCAGATATCCTCAGTGTTATTTTGTCCTTCCTCCTTTTTATGTATTTATCTCCCTCTGACTCCCCAACCAAAGAGCCTCCTTTCCCATTTCCTCCTTCCAATCGCATGTGCCTGCTACCCCCTTCTTTGTGGACTCCCCCACCCCTGACTGTCTCACTGGTTAATGCAGTTATTCCAAGTTACATATACACATTTAGAAGATTTGGAACCACAGATGGCAGAAAATGTGTGACATTTGTCTGTCTGGATCTGGGTTACCTCATTCAATACGACCTTACTAGTTCCACCCATTTGTTTAAAAATTTAATTTCTTTATTCATTTTATAGCTGAATAGTATTCCATTGTCTATGCACTACCTTTTCTTTGTCTATTCATCAGTTGAAGGACATTTAGGTTGTTTCCATTTCCTAGCTATTGTGAAAATATAAGCAATGAACTTGATGGAGCAGATTATCTGTGGTGTAGGATATCCTCTCCTTTGGGCAAATGCCCAGGAGTGAGTGGTTTAGCAGAGTCATCTGGCAGATCTATTTTTAGCCTTCCAAGGATTCTCCACATTGATTGCCAGGTTTGCTGCACCAGCTTGCAATCCCACCAACAGTTAATGAAGGTTCCCTTTTCCCTACATCCCCTCCAGAATTTGTTGTCAGGTGTTTGCTGATCTTTGCCATTCTGACTGGGGTAAAATAAAATATCAAACTTGTTTTGATTTACATTTCCTAATTGACAGGGATAGAAAACATTTTTTGAGATATTTCTGAGGCATTTTTATTTCTTCCTCTGAGAACTGTCCAGATTCTCAGGATTTTTTTTGGAGTGGATCATTTTGATTCTGTTTTTGAGGGTATTTTTTATATTCTAGATATTAACCCTCCATTTGTTGTATAGTTGGCAAAGATTCTTTCCCATTCCGTGGACTTCCTCTTCACTAGATTGATTGTGTCTTTAACTATGCATAAGGTTTTTAGTTGTATGAAGTACCACTTGACAATTGTTGAGAAGGCCTAAACTCTTGGTGTCAGCTTGATGCCAGCCAAGAAATAGCAATGGGGGACATGGAGCCTGAACCAGCCATCTCCAGTGAAGGATTCCAGTGGAGGGATTGGGATCCCAACCCAGCCACAAAACCTTAGACCTATAATTTGTCCTGCCTACAAGATCTGCTGGGGTAAGGGTGGTACAGAAATTGTGGGAGTGGCCAACCATTGACTGGTTCAGCTTGAGACCCATGCCACGAGAGGGAGCCCACTCCTGACACTGTTTGGAGGGCCAGGACCCTGAGGCTGGATGGCCCAGGGACCTAGGATAGAACCAAACACAACCGGCAAAAAAAATAGTAATATTCTGCCATACTCATAGACTGGTGCCTAATCCAAAGGTTGTCAGAGAGGCTTCACCCAGCAAGTCATGGATACAGATGCAGAGACCCACAAGCCAAATATTAGGTGCAGCTCGGGGAATCATACAGAAGAGGGGGAGGAAGGATTGCAGGAGTCAGAGGGATCAAGGACACTACTAGAAAACCCACAGAGCCAACTAACCAGGGCTCATAGGGGCTTACAGAGACTGAATGGGGCGGATCTAGGCACTCTGCATATATGTGACAGTTGTGTAGCTTGGACTTCTTATAGAACTCCTAACAATAGGAGCTGGGACTGTCTATGTTGCCTGTTTTTGGGACCCTCCCCTCCTACCAGGTACCTCATCCAGCCTTAGTCCAGAGGAGGTTTCTAGTCTCACTGCAAGTTGATATAACATGGCTGGCTGATATCCCTGGGAGGGCTGCCTGTATCTGAAGAGAAAACAGAAGATCAGGACCAAGAGTAGATGACGTGGGGGAGGGGGTGAGTTTGGAGGAGGGGAGGGGAAACTGGGGTCAAGATGTAATAACAAAAAAAATAAATACAACAATAATGTGGGGGGCATGCGGGAGATGTTATGAATGTCATAGCTCTAAATCCTTGGTGGGTTTCGGGATGGCAACCCAGACCAGCCTTCTGAATGTGAGAAATGCTTTTCCTCTCCTATCAAAAACAACTAGCCAATATTCCATCTCCCTGACCTTGTAAATCTTTTATGCACATCTTTTAATCTCCCTCACCCAGTAAAATGTTAGTTTACACAAAGCCCCAGTTTCATTCCCAGAACTCGATGGCATGGAGTGACTGTTCGCTTCTCCTTTCCCTTCCAATGATTATTTTAAAGCAAGCCAGTCAAGAGACTGAGGTCAGACACCAGCCAAGGAAAAGACACAGCCACTATCTGTGTTAGAACAATAACAACTGAACCCCCTGCCCCACTGTGCTTGCTAGCCTGATTTGGATCATGGTGTGCACTTTTTTAAAAAAGAAATTGCCCTGTCCAGTTAGTTATTTTCACTTTGCTCATATGTCTCTGTGTGCAACACCAAACATACCTGTTCCCAATGTGAAGAATAAGCCTGTGTACAGCAGGTTGCCAGCCAGCTGTCTTGGAGGGCAGGGACTGTAGGTCTGTCCTGAGGCAGGAAGGAATCCTCTGCTAGGGACAGCAGGCCCTGGTGGACCCTGGAGGCAGCAATGGCGGTTACCCCGGAAGCAGGAGTGAATTTTTCTGCCTTAGGTGGGAGCAGCATATCTCAGAAGCTAGATCCCCTGCCCGTGTGAGAGATCTCTTTCAGGTCTTAAGGGCAAAAGGAGTCATCCCTCTCTAAGAAAAGTCTGAGAAGTTGGATGATAAAGAGGATGTGTCCAGGGTTCATATTATACAGCGGTTCTCAACCTCCCTAACGCTGCAACCCTTTAATGCAGTTCCTCACATTTATAGGGACCCCAACCAGAAAATTATCTTCACTGCTACTTCATAACTGTAATTTTGCTACTGTTATGAACTGTAATGTAAATACAGTGTTTTCTGATGGTCTTGGGTGACCCCTGTGAAAGGGCTTCTGACTCCCCACAAGTGGGCTCATGACTCACAAGGTCAAGAACCACTGGGAATCAAGGTGTGCACCACCACCACCTGGCTCTACTTTTTTTTCCTCTTTAAACCAAGTCACCACCACTACCCCACTCTTGGAACTTGTCCAAAGCAGGCTAAGCTGGATGTCCAGGAAGCCCCAGGGAGCTTCCCATCTCCACTTGCCCAGCGCTGGGGTTGCTAGCCGGCTACTGTGCCTAGCTTTTTAAATGTGGATTCTGAATATCAAATTCGAGTACTAGACGAGCACTGCACTAACTGAGCCATCTCCCCCTCCCTGCTATGGAAGAGTGTGGGCTTTATTCTGTTTTACTATATGTTTTGAGATTTATTTTATGTGCATGGGAATATTACCTACATGTATGTCTGTGTGCCACATGCATGCTGTGCCTGTCGCAGCCCCAGGTTGAGGGACATCTATCATTGCCCATGTTCGTGCCTGAGAGGGGGAGTGTGGATTAAAGAATGGCAGGAAGAAAAATTAGAGATACTAAGGAAAAGACAGAGACACAGAATAGAGTCAGTGAATACTGGGAAAAAGGCCCCAAGTTTATTACACACAGTCTTTATATACCCCAATCAAAAGTGGGGGAAGGCAAATAGACTTCCTTGTCAGGATACAAAGAATAAGCAAGCATAATTACCTTCTCAATATCCAAAACATCAAGTAACCACACCCTAAACCAAGTATCCTCTCGCCAAGGCAAAATACACAACAGCCACACCTTAGGCTAAATATCCTGTTGTTAAAGTAAGACATCTATTAGTTATTTCTTAGGCAAAACATTCTGTTGTTTAACCTTGAACAAGCAATAGTGGGTTTGAACTCTCTGACCTTAAGTCAAGATGAAGTGCAGCCATCTCTGTGGGTGCCCCCGACAAGTGCCCAAGTTTACAAGAGAGAAGTTTTGGGTTGTCTTTTGGAGTCACACATCCTTTCCCTTGATAAGTGAATGGGACCTTGGAATCTTCCATAAAAAATGAAACCAGAAGAGAAAAGCCATGAGACGTCGCTGGAGGACTTTCTTTAGATCCACTGTAAGCCTGACCAGGCAACTCAAGCTTCCACTGGATGAAATCGAATGAGTAACTACAACCACTAAAACCAAAGAGAGGCAGACGTGGTTGGCTCTCACATGGCTTCTGTTCTATCCTGAGCTATCCCTGCACTGGGCTTGGGGTTCACCTTACAGAACCTTCTCATAGCTCACATTGTTTCTCAAAGATGCTGTGTTGCAACAGAGAATGCTGCATAGCACACATCAAACAGAAGTACTAGTAAGAAACTGTCTAATAGCCATCATCAGAGGGTCACACACCACTGCAACATGGACTATTATACAGCATGAGGATGCACAATCCATAAATATGTAACAGTATTGATAATCTCCCAAACAAGACTGAGCAAAAAATGCCGGACAGAAATGAATACCTGTGGGCTAAGGAGATGGCTCAGTGGGTACATGTCTCTCATGCTAGCATGGAGTTCACATCTATGTAAAAATCTGTGTGTGTTAGCAGGTGCCTATGATCCCATCACAGGGGTGGGTGTGTGGGGGTAGAGACAGGTGGATTCTGGGAGCTTAGTGGCAGCCAGTCTAGCAGCGACAGTAACCTCCTGGTTCAGTAAGACCCTCTCTTACAACATTAGGGGAGGACAGAGAGGGAGATACCAGACGTCAACCTCCTGCCCCTATATGCACACTCACAGGTGCTCACACACACACATGCACACAGGTGCTCACACCCACACAAACACACACAATTAAGTACATGGGTGATTCCCTTATGCGAAAACAAAATAGACAAAGCCAATCCACATAGTTCTACATCAGGGTACCAGTTACCCTTGAAAGAGGGGTCACAAAAGGACGCGGCATAAAGGCAGCTTCTAGAGCACTGCTTCCATGGACACAATCTCTTTGTGAAAATTCATCAAGGTGTGGATTTGGGATATATGTGTGTTTTTGTTTGATACCTCATTAAAAAGTTAAAGAAATTTTATTAGATGTTCCTGCCCTTCCCAAATTTCCTCCATGGGGTGTGTGTGAGGGGTAGAGACAGGTGGATTCTGGGGGCTTGGTGGCCAGCCAGTCTAGCTGTGTGTGTGTGTGTGTGTGTGTGTGTGTGTGTGTGTGTGTTTTAGTGTGCGGAGGACACACCTTAAGGGCAATCTCCAATGAGTCATGCCCTTCAAACAGTCCTAGTGTGGATAGAACTTATGACTTCGTTCTAGCCAGATGAGGCAGCAAGAGAAATAACTAGTCACCTCCATGGTGGTTTTTGTGACTGCAGACTACAGGGAGTGTTCCCTGTCGGATGGGAAGATGCAAACTACCCCACTTGAGGTGTGTGACAGTCACACAGTAGGTGGCCTTTAGGAACCAGGTTAAGTCTCTGGAAACAGCCAGGGACCTCAGTCCTGCAACCATAAGGAAATGAGTTCTGGCAACAACTTAGGCGAGTTTGGAAATTGGGGAGAACCTGGCCCTGCCGAAACTGCATTGCAGCCTATGAGGCCCCAACTAAGCTATGTGCCTCCTGACCCACAGAAAGTTTGAGACAACAAATGTGTGCTGCTTGTATCAGGCAGGTTTCTGCTCATTTTTTTATTGTAGCAATAGAAAATAAACACACCTTTGCGGAGTCTGTGTGTGGGGCACATGTATGCGCATGTTCACATGTGTGAGCAGGTGGAGGCCAGAGAACCATCTCAGGCATCACTCTTCAGGTGATTTCTACTGTTTACTTTTGTTTTTCAAGTTAGGGTCTCCCTACGTAGCCCTGGCTGTCCTGGAACTCACTCTGTAGACCAGGCTGGCCTCGAACTCACAGAGATTCGCTGCCTCTGCCTTCTGAGTGCTGGGATTTAAAGGTGTGTGCCACCACCGCCAGGCTCTACTTTTTCTTTTTTTCTTTTTTAAACCAAGCCATCACCACTACCCTACTCTTGGAACTTGTCCAAAGCAGTCTAAGCTGGATGTCCAGTAAGCCCCAGGGAGCTTCCCATCTCCACTTGCCCAGCGCTTGGGTTGAATGTGGATTCTGAGAATCAAATTTAGTCCTAGACAAGCCCTACACTAATTGAGCCATCTCACCCCGCCCCCCATGTGGGCTTTTAGCTCTGCTTTTTAATTTTTGAGATTTATTTTGTGTGCATAGGAATATTACCTACATGTATTACCTTCTGTGGAGGCCAGAAGAGGACATCAGATTCCCTGGCACAGAATTACAGATAACTTAACTGTGAGCCACTACATGCATGCTGGAAATTGAACCCAATTCCTCTGAAAGAGATGCCAGTGCTCTTAACCACTGAGTCATCTCTGCAGCCCCCTGTGGAATATTTGGACTTTTGCTGGCAGCGGTCTGACCTCAGTGTGAGCTCAGCCTCACTTTGCTATCGACTTTTGTCGTCTGAGAAGGGCAATATTGGCATGCTTGCTTGTTCCTTTTCAATTGTTTTTGCTAAACGTGACAATTACAATGGATTGCCAAGTGTCCAGTGAGCACAGGTGTGCCCATTAACGTTTCTCTACAAACACTTTCTGGAAAGATTGATCCAGCAGAACCCGGCTTCTCCAGTGTTAGGGCTAGGTTGAGTTTCTCTCTGCGTGTTGCTCCAGGCTCACTCCAAAAGTCTGTTGAGTGGTAACTCGGCATTTAAAGCTTTGTTTTCTTCCCGAATAGGTTACTTAGGAATTCTGCCAATCCTCCCAGGTGCTGTGAGAAGAAGCCATGCCCTGCTGTGAGACTATAGCTGCATGGCTCAGCACCTTCCACATGTTTCCAGTGATTGTTTCCCGGGCTTCCTGCAGCTGCAGACGGTCTGGAAGGGAGCCTCACCAGCCTCGCATTCTGATATTCACCTAGTAGTGTAGCCCACGAACAAACAGCATTCAAAGGGTTATTCTCCGGGGGAATGGTGGGGGCAGTTCTTCTGACAACTTGGCCATTGACACCCGTGGCTGATTGCAGTTTTCCCTGATACCCAGCAGTCAACGTTCATAGTTCCCAGGCTATGACAGGTAAACTTTGGTAACCCAGGCCCAGTACCATGATCACTCAGGTCCCAAAATAAGGATTCATCTTTAAAGACGCTCAGATGAAGTTGAAAGCACAATAACTCGCTCTAATGCCTTCCTGCCTTCCTTCCTCCCTTCCTTCCTTCCTTCCTTCCTTTCGTTCTTTCTTTTTTTTAAGACCAGATATCAGTGTGTATCCCTTCTCTGGCCTAGAATGCCCTCTGTAGACCAGGCTGACCTCAAACTCACAGAGATCCATTTGCCTTTGCTTCCTGAGTTCTGGGATCAAAGACATACACCACCATGGCCAGTCAATCACATTTTTAGATTTTTATTATTTAATATTAGGACTTGAGGACAGACTGGATTATGAAAAGGGATATAAATCTGGTATTTTTCTATGTTAGCTTTGTTACAGATTCGACAGGATTTTTTGTTTGTTTGTTTGTTTTGTATATGTGTGGTAGATAAGTACATAACTATATATCCAGTAGTGAAAGGATAAAATCCAACGCCAGGCTCCACACTGCAGAATGGGATATTATAACTGTAGAGAATTTCACTGAGACTTTGGGGCTAGTTAATTTTAATGCATGGTTTTTATATTTACAAGTTTTTAATACAAAATGTGTTCTTTGACAACTTCATATTTGGTAACTGAGACCCTCAGGAATTTTAATCAAACTGCAAAGCTTTCTTTTCAATCTTAGAATATCACCCAGTGACAATATAATGACAGCATTCACTGAAATTTGTTCTTTGTTAACCTGGCATCTAGGGACACAAGTCGCTGTGCTCCCAATTTAAATACCTGTGGACAATTTCTTGAAATCTATTCAGTGGCCTTTTAAAAGAGTCCTTGTTCTTGTTGCTGTTTATTTTTATTTTGTAAATGGGAAAACAGCCTCAAAGAGACCCAGCAAACTGTCCAAAGCCATACCACTATTAGCAAGCAGATTTGGGATTGGAAATAGACTTGACATCAAACTTGAAGCTTTTTTTCTTGTCTCTCAGCACTGTTGGGAACAAAAAGGGATAATCTCAGCATTGCACAAAGGAACATGTAAACACAGACAAAGCAGCTGGACTAGGCAATATCTTTTTACAAAAAGGCTACACTAGAACTCGCAGCACTCTGGGGCAGGGAGTTCTCTTTAGTCTTCATTCTAAGTGACTGTCTTTCTCCTTCTTCCCCAGCTAGGCTTGGACCTCACAGAATTTCAAGATTGGCTAACTTTAAAAGAATTGGTGCAAAGGAAACGAAAGAAAGGGAGAAGGGGTGGGCCACCCCAGACTACCAAGTTATGCAACTAGGTGTTCGTGTAAACAAAAGATTTACCAGGTGAGGAAGGTTAAAGTCGGGGGAGATTTACAAAATATTGGCCCTTGCCAGCCTAACTACCTTTGATAGAACATAATCACCCTCCACTGCTCTGCTGCACTTTTTGTGGCAGTGACCGGAACAGGGCAACGAGATGGAAGAGAGGGAGGTGATTCTGCTCCTACTTTTCCGTTCCCGTCCATTGAGGCAGACAGGGTGTGGCCAAGAAGAGCAGGTAGGAAGCAGCGCAAAGCCTATGCTGACCAGCTCTCTCCTTCTTCCGTGTTTCCATCAAGGGCCGCCACAGACTTACCTAGAGCTAAACCGTCTAGGCCTCTCTCCATCCAGTCAAGTTGAGAAACACCCATCGCTGTTCATTTCCGAATAACGCCTTGAAAATTTCAAGCTTCGCTCTACTCTTGTGACAAAATCCAGTGGTAAACTTGTTTGGTTTAAGGTGATGAGGGAGCCAGTGCAGGCCAGCTTCCTAGGCGCCCTGGTGTGGAGTAGAGCTGAGTGTGGCTGCAGGCCTCTCAGAGGAGGAAGGGTGCATGGTGGGTCGGGTGGAGAAGAGCTAAGAGATACTTGAGCCCGAGTCCTGGTTGAAACCCAAAGAATCTGGACCACAGCCAGACATCCCAGGACTCTTTTGCAAGCCAGTTTTACCTTCATCTCACCCACATTCTCTGTTAGGTCAAATTTATGTGAGTATGATTTTTTAAAAAAATGAGTTTATTTCTATTTATTACATCATTATTCGTGGCTTACATATAAAGGAAATAGGCCTGATTTGGTGTTTGCATGTATTTCACATAAGGTGATTTTTTTTAATACAAGTAGTAAACCACAAAATTCTCGCCTATTTAAAAACAGTTTAAGTGTAACAATTTAAAACTAAAATATGAATTCCATTTTTTTGGAAGTAGGTAATACATTTTAAAATATTTAATGATAAGCCAGGCACAGTGGTGCGTGTCACAGTCATCCTAGTGCTTAGGACTCTGGAGCTGGGGGACAAGTGTGAGTTCAAGGCCACCTTGAGTTACACAGTGAATTCAAGACCAAAACAGATGCTTAGTGATAGCCTGTGTCCAAAAAAAAAAAAAAAAGTAAAATTTTGGAAAGCATAAATGTTAGTTTTAAAAAGTACAAAGAAAGTAACTTTTGAAAGGTTACCTCAACCCTACCACTGCAAAAATAAAATTGTTAGTAACGGTGAACATAGGTCTCTTTGTGTTTTTGTTGTTGTTTTGTTTTTGACAAAGTCTCGTTATGTTGTCAAGGCTGCCCTTGAACTGGTGGCTTCCCTCCCAGCCATGCAAGTGCTGAGAGTCTAGGCCCGGCAGCATCACGTCTGCCTTTGAGAACATGATTTTAAATGTGTCTTTACATACATCCAGATGGTGGGGAACAGGAATAGCTTCACAGCCATAGGATTGTAATAGCTAGAGCATTTTAAAAATAAAAGCATTAAATCAGATTTTTTAAAATAGAAAATAAGCACATATAGCAAAACTAACAGACTCCCATCTTCAGGTAAATATCTTCAGTAACAGGAAATGCTCACATCTGAAAGAGTATTACAAACACTTTTGAGCCAGCAAGATGGCTCAGCAAATAAAGGTGTTTGTGGCCAAACCTGACTCTCTGAGACGTGTGTTTGATCCCTGGGATTCACATGAGGCAAGAAGATAACTGATTCCACAAAGTTGTCCTCTGGCTTCCACACACGTGTTGTGGCAATATAACGCCCCCACACTCAAATAAATAAATACGATTTTAAAATTTAAAAATAAAAACTAATCTCAAGAACAATAACCAGAAGCTCAGTGATTGCTAGCTTGCTGCTCTTCCAGAGGAGCTGTTCCCACCACCCTTATCCGGTGGCTCACTGTCAGCTGTAACTCCAGGTCCCGGGGATCTAACCTTCTGACCCCCGAGGACATCTGCGTGCACATGCACAAGCGAACACACAGACACCCATAACCAAACAGAGATAGATAACTAAACAAATTTCACAGAAAGAACCCGACTACATGGACTGTGGCAGGTGACACGTCTCAGCAGCAGGTGTTCCTGAGAACGTGTGAACGCTTCTGCTCCCTTTGCGTTTCTAATGTCATAAGACCTTTTATGCAGTTGAGGTTTCAAAGAGTCTCATGTCATTCTATTCTCCTGATGCCCAGTAACCCTGCTCTAGCTTTACAGCCAATGGTCACTAAGATAGTTTAATTTGAATGACTGTCACTACTAGTATTCTCAGTCATACTGCCTCCCTACGCCCTCTGCTTTTTCTCCTTTTAAAATCATTTGGATTTCATCACTGGGCAGTTTCTTGTCTTGGGAATGGCCCATGGGATCTTGATTTGATGTCAGCCTGTGTAACCCTGGATTCCTCATGCTCAGATTGATTCAACTTTTCCAGAGATCATCTATGTCTTTTCAGTGAGCAGATTCAAATTTAGTTCACATTTTTTTATACTTTTGTTTTATTTTTCTGCTTCTTCCATTCTCTTCTACAGGCACAGAACTACCACATACTTTTTGTGTCCTCCACACTTATTGTCTTCTGTCTAAGCCAGTGGTTCTCAACCTGTGGGTCACGACCCCTTTAGATTTACATATCAGATATTTATGTTATGATTCATAACAGTAGCAAAATTATGGTTCTGAAATAGCAATGAAAATAATTTTATGATTATAATTCCACAACATGAGGAACTGTATTAAAGGTTCGCAGCATTAGGAAAATTGAAATCCACTGGTCTAAGCATTGGAATAGAAAGTTTAACATCTTTGTGTGGTTTCCTCAAGCTAGCTCAACATGCTACGCCATTTTGCTCCTTCCTTTTCCCTCTTTTGAAACAGGGTCATCTTCTATTTTCTTAGAAATATTTTTCTCAGGGCTGGAGAGATGGCTCAGTGGTTAAGAGCAGTGGCTGCTCTTCCAGAGGTCCTGAGTTCAATTCCCACCAAGCAACCACTTGGTGGCCCACAACCATCTGTAATGAGATCTGGTGTCCTCTTCTGACCTGCAGGGATTCATGCAGGCAAAATACTGTATACATAATAAATAAATAAATCTTTAAAAAATATTTTTCTCAGGGCTGGAGAGATGGCTCACCACTTAGGAGTGTGTACTATTCTTCCTGTAAACCTGAATTTGGTGGGTCACGATTGCTTATAACTTCAGTTATAAGGTGACACAGTGCCCCCTTTTGACCTCCACAAGCACCTGCACTCACATGCACATACCCACATACAAACACACATATATACCTAGTTAAAAACAAAATCTTTTAGGGAAGAAATATTTTTCTCTCTTCAATTATTTCTTTTTTATTTTTGCTCTTTAGATTTATTTTTATTTTGTACACATGAGTGTAATATTGTCTATATTTTTGCATGTGTATCATGGGTATACCGGTGTCTGTGGAGGTCAGAAGAAGAAGTCAGATCCCCTGGAACTGGAGTTACAGACCTTTGTGAGCTGCTCTGTGAGTGCTTGAAACTGAGCCCAGATCCTCTGCAAGAGCTAAGCCGTCTCTTCAGCATGCCTTGGGTTACTTCTATTCTAGCTATTATCTTAGGGCCACTTTGGTTGTTTATTGTGGTGCTGAAAATGTGTGTTAGAGCCTCAAGCACGCTAGGCAAACTCTACCACTAAAATGCATCCCAGCCCCAGTGCTAAATTCTTTGCTAGTTTTTCATCACTATAACAAAATTTCTAAGAAAAAAATGAAGGAAAGGGCTATTCTGATTCAGTTTGAGGCTTTATTTTTAAGAGATTCCTGGGAGGCTGTATTGGCATTTTGGGGTGTGAATTAGTGGGAGAATAAAGCCATCATTTCATGGTTTAGAATTTTAAAAAATAACCAGAGACTAAAGTCTGATGGCTCAGCAGTTAAGAGTACTCGAATTCTTGCAGAAAACCAGAGTATGATTCCCTGCACTACATGGTAGCTCACAACAGACTGTTATGCCAGTTCTGGGAAATCCAAAGCCATCGCCCAGCCTTTGCCATCACAACACATAGGTGGTTTACATACATACATACATACATACATACACACATACATACACACATACATACACACACAGGCAAAACATACAAATAAAAATAAATATTTTTAATTAAAAAAAACTAGAGTCCTAGAATTCTCTTTGAGCCAATGACAAACACTGTGATCACAAGATCTCTCCCTAGGCACCTCCTCTTAGAAGTCCCTCTCCACAGTGACACTCTGTGGGCCTAGTCTCCAACATAGAGGCCTTGGGAGATGTTTAAGATCCAAAATAAAATGCTTTCTTTTTCTCTCTAGAGTTCTGTTAGGTCTCCTTATATTTCTTCCTTTGGGTAGTGGAGCACAGAGTGGTCCCCATGCATAAATGATGCACCTGAATGAGTGATGGTGGGGGCTCAGGTGAGCCAGCCGGGAGGGTGTGAGAGCAGCAGAGCCGACCCTGTCTTTCCCCCCACCCCGTATGCCATGTGGTGGCATCTGTGAAAGATTCCCCATTGCCCCCTGCCACCTGCAGCAGGAGAAAAAGCTGTCTTCAGGGGCGTGAGAGCAGGAGAGCTGGTCCTGCCCCTCACCAACTGCAGCACTCAGGAGAGCCGGCCCTATCCTTGCCTGGACAAAATAATAGAGCTGGCACTAGTTGTGTGGATGCAGGTGAGCGGGCCCTGAAGGCATGAGAGCAGAGGAACTGGCCCGCTCCTTGCCGCCTGCAACAATGGGTGATCTAGCCAAGGCAGTGCTGGAGAGCTCACCCTAGTGGTGACAGTGAGGAAAAGCTGGCGGATTGACCAACCCAGCGACCACCAGTGCTCAGAACCAAGGCGCTGAGTTATCCCACCCCAACACTTAGCTCATCTATGAACTGCTGAAGCATGTGAAGGGGCCGGACTTGCAGATCTAAAGCTGCAGGGTCTCCACGACACAAGGCAACAACAGAATTTCCAAGAGGAGTTCTACTGAGGATTTAGTATTGATAGTGTATTGGAAACCAGAAGCCTCAAATCAAACCAATGACTCACCTTACAAGTAAAGACAATATGGACTAAAGGGCATGCTATGTGACTCACTGGACCATACTATAGCTTCCATACTGAGGGTTTTTTTATTGTTGTTGTTGTTGTTGGTTGTTTATTGTTTTTGTTTGTTTTGCTTTTGTTTTTAGTTTGTTTCTGTTTTTGTTCTCTTTTAAATTTTATTTTATTTTGGGGGAGGTTGCAAGGGCAGAGGGCTGATATGAAGGGACGGAGATGAGTGGGATCAGGATACATGATGCCAAATCCACAAAGAAGCAATAAAAAGTTAACAAAAAAAACATGCACCACCACATTTAACTATTTTTATATTAATACATTTTATTTCTGTGACATCTATTCACTAGTGTTTGAGGATTCCATTTTAACTACTAATGTACATCTTAATGAAAATGTATGCTATGCCTATATCACACCTTTCTAGGTTACCATATTCTAGACCTGTTCACTGTCTAATTCTAAATTTGGGATTTTTTTTTTCTCAACAGGGTACTTTGAGAACACAGTAATCACCAAACCAGACTGTTCCATGGACGGGAAGAAAGTTTACTGTAAATATGAAAGTACTTCGAGGCTATCTCTCAGGTTGTAGAGAGAGAACACCCAGAGGTATTTAGGGAGTCCAAAGCTGCCACGGCTACCTCTCAGAGACACCGAGGATAGCAAAAAGGCAGGAGAGAGCCTTGGCAGCTATAAAGAGAGCAGGTAGCTAGGCAGGGGAGGTGTGCAAGCCAGAGCAGCCTGGGAGCCAGCATGGTGCTTTGATGTGTTACAAACCTGGAGCCAGATGTCCCTTTGGCCAGAGATGGGGGAAGATAAGGGAAGTGGCTCTTCCTGGGGGGCAGAGACCGGCCTCACCTCACCGGTTCCTGGGAAATGCTAAGTGTAAACTTTCATCTATCTGTCAGTAATCCTTCTGTTTCAATGACAGTTGGGGGTATGGAGCTTGGGGCCTAACAGATAGGGAGATGACTGGATTGATGGAGTGCTTGCTGCCCAAACATTAGGACCTGAGTTCAGATTCCAGGCACAGCTGTGTATGCCAGTGATCCCAGCACTGAGGAGGCAGAAGCAGGAGAATGCTAAAGCTTGTTGGCCAGCCTCTCTACAAATTGGCAAGCTGTAGGCATCAAAAAAAAAAAAAAAGGTGGCAGCGAGTGACTGACA